ACATCAGACGCATCACACTGCTGCCCAACCTTTACGCACTGTTGACAAATGGAGTGCAGGTCCTAAACCAGGCCAGAAGTTTGTTCAGTGTTCTTGTTCCAAAATAAACATTCTGGATGGCAGGTTAATTTATTATAACATTCACTCTTATAGCTTTCTTAGTCAAAACTACAAATAAGGTCTCCTAAAAAATGCATCGACGTTGATATCTGTGTTTTCTGCCATGCAGAATGACTTGCTCTCAATGGTTGAAGCTGCAACCTTCCAGGCTCATTTCTGGCTGAATCCAAATTGGTCGCTTGGAGGCTGGAGCTGCATGACATCAGAGATCACAATGCCACTTTTTGTTGCCATGGGTGAGCGTACATGGATCATGCCGCTAAGCCTTTACTCCGAGCTAGCAGAAAACTGGCTGGCTGTAGATCGAGTTCGCCATCGCCCTCAACTTTGTCGATGTGATGGTGATCATGGATAGATGTATGTCACAGCGCAAAGCGGAGACTCCAATGTTAGCAACCGTACTGTAAATGTGGAGGGGAAAATTTCTCAAGGGGACAACCATGGAACAGAGGAGATGGAGCAAAGTAGTTGCTCTTGCTATCATTTCAGATCTCAGGCTGATCTCTAGCTCTGATAGGAGTACTAATTAGTATGTGTGTGTATTTAATCATTGATGGTACGTTTTAAGAGTTGAACCAGATATTGCTTGATCATTACATGACGATATGTAAAAAATGGTATTGACAAGGAGACGCAGGAACAGGGTGGTTCATTGCTCTGTTTAATCTTAATCTTGGAGAGCTAGGATGGAAAACTGAGTTGGTGGTTTTATCTCTACTACTTTTGATGTTGTCCAAAACAAATTTGTTTCTACTCATGTACGTATGTAAAAACACAAATTTTAGTGATTACAGAACTTATTTTTCTCTTTAATCAGATTATTTATCAGTGGGATTTTTCTTTCTCTAGTAGTACTGTATAAAAATACTTTTTTATCGTCAATCCTCCTAAAATTCCTATTTATAAACTCATTTTTCTTCAGTTTTTTTTCTGTATTTTGATTCTCTTTCCTCTACGTGACTACACATTTTGAATTGAACATGCTCTGTATCTGCTCGGAATACTTATTATTCAGCCAACTTAAATGCATGAGATTTGCTCCGGTCCACCAAAAATTACCTCGAGGTACTAGTACCTCATGGTACCAAATCGTTTCCGATCGTGAAACGATTTGGTACCGTCAGTTACCGTACCTAGAGATCTAAATGCATAGGGGCATTTGGAATGTGCACTTAACAGTTGTTTGAACACTTCCAAGGAATTTCTCCTCAGTTGTCGGACGACTCATTCATTTTCATCGCTTCCAACAATTATCAACTGTGTCTCTTCCTCTCCCCCTAGATCCGGCCCTACCACCGCCAAAGCTGACCGGCGTCTGCGCGGCGGCTAGGACATCGGCGACGGGGAGGTGGGAGGCGGAGGCACGGCGATGGTGGCCAGAGGCAGCCGGGCTCGTGCGCTGACCGTCTGGGTTGGTGACGGCTAGAGGTGGTCGGGAGGACGGCGGGTAGCGGCTATGCGTCGGCGACGGAGGACCTTCGAACGGCGGTGGGGGCAGTAGCGGAGGACGGCGTCGGCCCAGGACGACAACGGCTCCCATCGGTGCCGGTGGCCCTAGGGGCTGCGGCGGAGGACGACGGTTGTTCACGTCGGCGGCCGTGGCCCTAAGGGCATTGGCGGCTTCCGTCGGCCGGCGGCCCAGGATGGCAGCGGTTCTCATTGGTGCCGGTGGCCCTAGGGGCTGCGGCGGAGGACAACGGCAGCTCCCGTCGGCACCGGTGGCCCTAGGGGTAGCAGCGGAGGACGGTGGCGGTTCCCGTCGGTGTTGGCGGCCTGGGATGGCGGCAGTCTGAGTACTATGGATAATGGAGGCCTAGAAATCTGGCAAAGTGGAAGCTAACCCCATCGGTTCGTATCTGGTTGGCTAGTTCTAACTAAACGATGAACAACGACGGTTGAAAGTGTGCTAAATGGCAGCACGTAGAGTCAACTCACCTGAAACGGATAAAGATGGCACCAACGGAGGTTTGCATCGACGGCGCACTAGGGGCAATGACGAATAGACAACTTCCACTCGTCAAACCTGGTTGTTTCATAAGAATATGGTGGGAAGCAGAGAAGCTGGGATGTGTCGAGGTCGTTTGGTTTTCTTTTCTTTTTTGATTGTGTGTTCTCCTCGTTGTTGAGGTGTGAGTATAAGTGCTCTTGTATCCTTTTGGCTGTGTATATCCTTCATAATATAGAGGCCAGATTAATGAAAATCCATTATCTAAAAAAAAAATTGTCAGACGGCTAATTAAACCTAAGAATTCCATGTGCAAGGACTTGTACTAGTGTTCCCAAATCTTAGAACACTTTGGCTTTACAAATTGGATCAACTAAGAGAAATCAGATTTGAGGACGGCAGCTCACCCCAGTTGGAAAAGATAGAAATCTCTTGGTGCAGGTTAGAATTAGGGATTATTGGTATCATTCACCTTCCAAGGCTCAAGGAAATTTCACTTGAATACAGAAGTAAAGTGGCTAGGTTTGCTCAGCTTGAGGGAGAAGTGTGCGCACATCCAAAGCATCCAGTGCTGCAAATGATGGAGGATCGAAGCTATCGCGACCTAGGAGGTGATGCCGAAGTATCTGCTGTACAAGTGCAAGCAGGATCCCCTCCCTGAGCAAGAGGGAGAGAGCACGCAGGTGATCACGTTGACGACAAACTACAGGTCAGTCACTCCCTACATGGCAGCTTAATTAGCTAGTTTTCTCTTCTTATTCAGTATTAGCCGTCAGGTGATATCGATGATTTCAACTCACCCTTTCACCTCTCTTGTTTTCTTAACCTAACAGTGAACAGATAGGCACAGCTCAAGCTGGTTTGATCAAGTCATCATCTCCTCCTCCATTGGCATCTCGGGTCGTCCCTGGCTCCCTGCTTCTGTGGCTCCGAGCAGGGGTGCTGATCTAAGGAGGCATCCACTTTTTTCAATTGCGTCTCAGGTATGAATTGTTCGATCTGATCTTTTCTCGTGATATGTTACTGTTCCAGCATGAGTATTTCAACCAGCGGCTTAGAATTTTTCGTTTGATCAGGTTTTTTCCCTTTCTTACCTGGGCACTATACTTTTGGTTTTCTTATTTCATTTTTGCTGTGCACACCAGTTGTTTGCTAGAATGTCTGAAAGAGCTTGTGTTCATGGTTAGCTCAACATTATGTGTTAGTCATATTTTATATCGTTGCTGACCTATCACATAGCGCAGGAGTTTTTTTGCTATGTTTATTGTTGCTTGCTGTTGATTTTCCTTTTTGTAAAGAATATTAGCTTTTTAGATAACGAAAAGAATACTACGTATCCTGCAAAAAGGATTGATTTGGTCGTCACTGGCTAGTAGGGGTGAAAACGGTACGGAAACTTTCCGGATTCCGGACCTATTTTGGAAACGGAATCTGTCGGTCAGAATTTTTTTGGAATTTTTCGGAAACGGAAACGAATTCGGAAATATTTTCTCGGAAACGGAATCGGAAATGATAAGGGCAGTTTCCATCGGAACTCGGAATCGGTCGGAAACTTTCTGGAAATTTTCTCGGAATTTCCGGAAATTTTGTGACTGAAATAGTGAATACCATGGTATTTGGCTGTTATTTTTTTTAAAGTATTTGTTATGCAAATCTGAAGTTACATAAGAATATTTTTTTCCTGCATTAGGATTTATCAACATCAGTAATCTCTTAAACATAGATAATTTATTTCATAGATTGTGTTCTGTGATTGAGACTTAAAAAATAGACTTATATGATTGTGTTTTATGATGAATTGTTGACCGTTGAGACTTGAGAATTGGATTTATCAGTTTGAGAGGTTTTTTATTCCGATAAATTTTGTTACCATATTCGTGCCGATTCGTTTTCGCTCCGTTTTCGGTTTCGATAATATTTGATTCCGTTTTCGTATCCGGAGTTTCCGATTCCGATTGCGAAAAAAATATGAAAACGAAAACGATAACGGTGGTTTTTGTCCGTTTCCATACCGCCGTTTTCACCCTTACTGGCTAGTACAAAACAATTTGGATTGTCGGAGTTGCTGGTCTTGGGAAACTACTCTTCAAAGGTGGTTTACAAAACTCTGATGTTAGTACCAAGTCCTTGCAGGGAGAGATATAGAAGAGTGGGAAATTTTGTATGCTCAACTTCCATCAGAACTTGGATGCAACCCAAGCCTTGCAGCAATGAAGAAGGTGGTAGCCCTTAGTTACAATTACTTGCCTTCTCATGTTAAGCCTTGCTTTCTATACCTTTGCATCTTTCCTGAGGATTTTGATGTCCAAAGGAAGCGCCTAGTTCATAGATGGATTGCAGAGGGATTTGTTAGAGCTAAGGGTGGAGTGAGAATTGTTGATGTGACAGAGAAATATTTTAATGAGTTGATTGACTGAAGTATGATTCAAGCATCTAGAGTGAACATAGACAAAGGTACTATTAAGAGCTGCCGAGTCCATGATATCATGCATGATGTAATGATATCAATATTGGAAGAAAATTTTGTATATTTGATGAGGGATGATGGAACTAGTGTAGTGGAGGAAAAATATTCGCCATGTAGCGTACCATGACAGCAAGTGTTCTATTATAGGCATGGACTGGAGCCATGTACGGTCGTTAACTTTGTTTGGCGATGAGAGACCCAAAGAGCTCTCACCTCCATTCTGTTCTCCCCAATTGAAAATGCTAAGGGTGCTGGATCTACTAGATATTATATTTGGACTAGCAAAAAGATATGGATAAAATATGGTTGTTGGGTCACTTGAAATATGCCAATATTAGGTGTTCCAATGAATGCTCAAGCATTTATGCACTTCCTACGGCCCGTTTGGTTGGAGGGAGTTTTTAGTAGGGATTGAGAGTTTAGAGGGATGAGGCTATTAAGTGTTTTGTTTGGTTGGGAGACATAGGAATTTTGGTGGGATGGGGATGGGGAATTGAGAAAGGAACTCCCTCCTTTTCAATACCTGGGTAGGGACAGGTAATTGGGAGGGAATTCCTCCTCTACTTTATCTAAGCAAATCACAGCCATCCATTTTTATTAATGACCTAATCTCCAACTAAACTCCCTATCAATTCCATCAGCTCTACCAAACAAGATATTGGGATTAAAAATCAAATTCCCATCTTGATCTCGTCATAAATTCCCTCGTGTAAATTCCCAATCCCCTTCCCTCGAGTTACCAAACAAGCCGTAGTTCGATAAGAAAATTACAAGAGTTACACATTGGACATATCTGACACTTATATTACAACGCTACCAAATGAGATTAGTAAATTGCAGTCTATGTGTCCTCCGTGGTAGAAGACAAGGATCCTACTATGACCTTGATACATATAATCGTAAGGAACGTGTACTTATTTTATCATGTATTCCTTTGATTATGGCTTTAAGTGATTCTGATAACCATAGAAGACTAATTACCGATCTACACACGGGTTGTTCAAGTCATTGGCATAGAATTAAAGATGGTGTAAGGGTACCAAGAGGAATCAAGAATTTGAAGAGATTGAAAGTACTAGAGATAGTGGATATCGCGGTAACTGACAGCAAAGCAATTCAAGAGTTGGGGGAACTTAACCAGCTAAGAAAACTAAGTGTCATGACAAAAGGGTCAAACAAGAAAAAGTGCAAAATACTTTGTGCAGCCATCGAAAAGCTCACTTCCTTCAAATCTCTCTATGTGGATGGTGATCATGGATACTCACTTGATGGAACACTTGAGTGTCTTGATTCTATTTCCCATCCTCCTTCCCTCAAGAGCCTTAGATTGAAGGGGTGTATTAAGGAGACACCCAACTGGTTTAGGGAGCTCAAACACTTGGTGAAGATTTACTTATATAAAAGTCACCTAAATGGAGATACCATGGAGATACTCGGGGAACTACATAATCTCATGGATCTTCACTTTCGTTGGTATGCATACGTTGGGGAGAAGCTAGTGTTCATTGAGGGAGCATTCCAAAATCTCCGGAAGCTTGTTGTTGAAACTGAGGATAAACTAAGAGAGGTGAGGTTTGAGGAGGGCACCTCACCCCAGATGGAATGGATAGAAATCTGTCATTGCGAACTGATATCAGGGATTGTTGGTGTCAAGCACCTTCCAAGGCTCAAGGAGATAGGACTCAAATCTGCTAAAGTGGCAAGGCTTGGTCAGCTGGAGGGTGAAGTGGACACACACCCCAATCGGCCCATATTGCGCCTGTCTGAGAAGCGAAGCTATCACGACTTGGGGGAAACCCATGTATCTGTTGTTGAGGTGGAAGTGGCGGATGAGCCCCTTCTCACCAGCAGCCTGTGGACGTTGACGATCGAACAACAACCAGTCAGTCCTGCATTATGACATTCATGCAGCTACTTGTTTTGTTTTTCTCTTCTGTTCAGCACTAGCTTAGCTTATCTCATTTTCTTACTTTTTTCGTTCTTCCTTGTTGTCTCTAGCAAAACCCAATAGTTAGCGAAGAATGCTCGATGGTGCCGATCTCGCCTCTAGATGGTGATGATGATCAGTTCTCCGTTGTGAGCTCTCCTGGCTGCCTGTAGTGCTGATCCCGGAGTCCCCTGCTGCATTTTCCACCTCCCGTGCCTGAGGTCAGTTCAGTATCTGCCCTGAGTCACCATGCCGGTATTTGTTTGTTTCTATATGATTTGATTAGTAGGATGCTTTTTGTTTTTGAAATTTTGTATCATGATTGGTTGGAGCGTGTGATTAGGTTTCTTACAGGTGCAGCAGAGGTCGTATTTTGTTTTAATGTGCACACCAGATGTTCGTCCAAATGTCTTGTCAAAATTTTTTTATCTTTTGATTTGTCAAGTATTTATGATTCGCAATATGAAACATCGTTGGTCAGGATCTGTGCTGCACGTATCGATGCAATGTAATGATCCAAGTTACGGTTCCGTTTGTTCGTTATCTTCTTATCAATTTAGGCCCTGTTTTTTTTTCAGCTTGGGATTTTTATAATCTAGATTATTGAGTCAGATTACTATAAACTAGACTGTTATAATATGTAGTAGAATAAACGGTTAGTTGTTTCTTTCCTAGATTATTAGAGCCTAGAATATTAGGTTTGCAAGTCTAAAGAGGGAGTGGGGTGGCATGGTGGGTAATTTTTCACCCAATAATCTAGAAAAAGCTCACCTAAATGAGCTTATCAGATTAGAGTAAGCTGGGCTCCAGATTATAATAAGCTACTTCAATAAGTTGTCTGTTTCTTTCAGCTTACTCCCAATAAACTGGATTATAATAATCCCAATCTGAAAGAAACAGGGCCTTAGTGTTCCGTACCAGATTTTCAAAAAGGAACTAATATTTCTTACCAACCATTTCTGATGTAATCTCTCTATCCACTGTCATACCGTGTTACCTGTAGACTGTAGTCTGTAGACATAAAAAAAGTACCTTTTTGGTCTCTGAAACATTTACCTGTATCGACTGGTCTCCAATATATCCTTTTGTTTTCATTCAATTTGAAACGGCCTTCTTTTTGCCAATCCATTAAAGAACTGGTTTGCGAATGTTTAGTTTGAGAGTAGCTTGACCAAATGGGCCTTAAGCCTGATTGCAGTGGATTTTACTTGCTCAGGGTAAAACCAAATTAAAGGATCATGTTCATTCTCAGGAATCTCTAGCATGGAATGAGAACAAAAATCATAACAATGGTCAAGGTAACAAGACTGAACCAACCACCATGGCGCTAATCATCGATCTGAAATAACATCGGAACTTGAAAGCTTCAGAACGTCCATCGTCTATTCGTCAGTGCGTGCAAACTCTGAAGTCTGAACCGCGAAGTAGTCATCAAGGTCGTAGTCTCGTAGATATGATGTTCGTTACCAATACCTGTTTCTAATCGATTCCTTTATGTTTTTCCGTTCATTTTCTCTCAGTTTTATGGAACACTATTCAGCTGGGGACGAGATGTGGAATACTCAACGGAGTACATTAGACGCATGAATGCATGCATTTGATGCATAGAATACGGGTCTTGGAGGGATACGCGTAGGCTACGATAGCATAAATTAAAATTTTCTACCGCGTAAACCAAGAACCATACAAATATTGGATCATAGATCGTTACCACTTGACGCGCTGCGCAGCGGAAGAAAATGCTAAAAAGGCGAAGGAACCCTCGCGATGTAGCGCGCGTCGATGTTGAAGAAGTAGTCGATCGCACCGGCTCGACCTTCTCCTCCTCATGCGTTCTCCTCGCCGTACTCCCACGCTGATCAGTATCGCAAAGCAGTGGCGCCTCTACCGGTATCCACACGTATAGGGACGGAACGCCATATGCAGATGTGCTAGCACCCGCGCGCGGCTAGGGTTTTGCTCGGGGAAAGGAGTGGCGGCTAGGGTTTGTCACGTGATGCAATGCCTCCGCCGGTCACACCCCTCACGAATATATAGGATCTATGACTCGGTTCTCCAAGGCCCGTGGGACTCCTATTCGGATCCCTATCCGAATTAAGCTCATATTGGATCTCCATCCAATCCCCTTATTCCGGCTCATTAAGTGTGCGGCCCTGTAGGTTCATGCACACTCGACTGTAACCCGAAAACTCTTTTTCGGTCCACGTGTCAACAGCGGCCCCTAACAGAACGTATTGACTGACCGGGCATACACAAAGATCATATCGGTTGAACCTCTAGTGTATACTTGTATGAACCTCTTTGCCTCACGATATCGATTAAGCTCAAGGCTAGATATGTGCCATCCTCTAATAGCTCAATCATTCACTCGAACCTGTGATAGATTACATAACTCGTGACTGTCCTCAACCACCTTTGGCATGGCCATGCATTTCCATAATCTATAACATCGAGGGACCCAGAGATATCTCTCTATAGGAGGGGCAAATCCCATCTTGATTATTCATATCTCACTACACGTTTCATAGCATACCCGAAAATTACTTTTATAACTACCCAATTACGGAGTAGCGTTTAGCAGTCCCTAAGTAAGCTACTACACATGTTGGAAACCATGATAATATCAGGTCTATGGATTCAACACCAACACTAAATGAGATCACTGATGACACAACACATATGGCTCTTGCAGTGTCTCATATTGGGTCTATCCAACAATATGTTTCCCAACATGTGTCCACATTATTAATTTGGTATCTCTATACCATGATCCATAAGACATGATCATCAATTAATACATGTGCTGATCATTAAACATATTTGTTCCACATATGATATTTGATCAGGGATCTTTTAGAAATAGCAACATACAACATAAAGAGTCTCATAAAAGAATCACATATTCAGTAACCAATAATGAGTTATCTATTTTAAGGAACAATGTCGGATAAATATGTAAACATAATATATGATACAATCATCTCTATTATTGCCTCTAGGACATATCACCAACAGGTCTGCAATGCAGTGATGATGACACCTGTGCAAAATATTTCAGTCAGGGAACTCAGGATCACTAAAAGATGTCGATGTTGCCTCTCTGGAATGTATGACATCTCACTTCTCAGGAAGGATTGGAGCCGGTGCCGCCATCAGAAATCACAACGGCCAGATTTCTGTGTCATTGAGATGCTATATGTATCGGAAGACTTCAGATAAAAAAATATCTTCTCATCTCCAGGTTACTGAACAACGGAGAGTCATTCTACTCCTATATGCTACTTTTAACTTTCACTAGCTAGTCTGTATGATTGATTTGTTTCCTTTTTTTTTTTGCACTTACATTTGTTAATGTATATGTGTGTATATATTAGGATAGAGGGCCCATTTTGGACATGTATATGTGTACTGTTGAACTAATGTTGACCAGAATATCTGAAATTCCCCAACATTATGAATTGCGCTGGATCTAGATCACCACGAGAAGCTAAGCCGGTTGTGTTGGCGGGATTGGTCGCTTCAAAAACTAGATGATACCCCGCGCGTTGCTGCGGGATTTTGTAGGTAGAAATGGAGAGCTACACGTGGAGGCATAAGAGATAAATGTAATAGTAGCCATCGGAAATGGTAATTTTTTTCAAACAAACAACTATTTCTGTAGGATGAAATCTATAAACTGGAGTAGCAACATCCGTGAAGGTTAAGATAGCATTTCTCAGATATAGTAATAGCAACGCAAGAGATACTAATTTTGATTATTGGTATTGACCTTCTCTTCAGTTAGACTGCATTTGAGGTAATCCATTTTTTATGTAAGAAATGTTAGAAGCATATGAGGGTCAGAGATAGCTTCAGTTTGTTGAGGTTATAGAAGAATCCATTTGAGCAACTGCATCCATGTTCACTTGTGAAGAACAGACAAATGAAAAATGAGCAGCATCTCGTTTGAAAGTTTGAGGATTCCTGAAGGGAAGAGCAATAAATGGCAAAGTATAGACAATACGACGATGCAAAAGAAGCTAGAAGCAGTTTGCATGACAACAAAGAATGCAGACGGTTAACATGACAACAGAGAATGCAAGGTACCAGGAAGGCAGGAATAGAGTAATAGAGAAAATAATGTAATAGGAGTAACATTTATTAATTGGTGATTAATGATAACCTGCTGGTTGGTTCTCGTTGAATATCCATGTGTTGGAATAAGAATAAAGCTGTTGAGAATAGGAGAAATGAAAGGGAGTTGTCATAAGGAGAAACATAATGGTGTATGTGATACTTATAGAGGTTGAGTAGTAATGTGGTACCGAATCGTGGAGAATAGTGAAAATAATATCTGATTTATTGTTGACTGCTTATTGAATTAGCATTGAACAGTACAATCAGAGTAGCTAATTGAATCGTGGAGGGTGTGGCCCTTTGGCTAACTTTTTATGCACGTTTATGCATTTTTATTAATTTATTGGATCAACATAGTGCAACCCCTATCTATCCCTTTACCATAAAGTAAATTCAAAGAAGAAAACAATGTTTATCTTCTCATGTTAAGTGTTGTTAGAATGTCTGAATCAGAACCCATCTTAATTTTCTCTGTTTCTTAGGATATCAATCATGTCTTAGAGCTGAAAGTTTGTATCAACAGAAACACAATAACTTGTAGTATTTTGGGCTAAAAGATCCATAAAACTGAAGATAAATAGTCAGATGGCCTTGATGAATAACCCAATGTTTGACAAACTGTTCAATTTTGCTATTACAAATAGCATTCTTTATACTCTAGCCAGAAAAAAAAAATGAAAAATGGATATAAAGTAGGATCATCATATACCAAAGAAGAATCAGGATAGATATATCAAAAATTAGGGATCGATGTGTATGAAAAATAGCTAGACAGTGTTGTTATGGAAGGAATAACTTGTACCTCTTGCGAAGCAAGTGTCGCAGTATGGGCATATAATAATATATAGAAATCAAGTTACCATGAATGAATATGGGGCAATTATGATTACCCAATGTATATACAGATTGCTCCAGCTGTTGCTTTGGATGGGAATGTCATGGGGACTAATCTCAGCGGTAGCCCATAGTTGCTGATGCAACAATAGTAAGCAATCTGCTAATGGAAAACAATCTGCATCCGGAATTCATAAGGTATATACTGCGTGATGTAAAATTGGTATACATACCAATGATCCTCATACCATGAATTGTCTCCTTTAGTGAAGTGTATATACTAAATTTCGCATAACATATTTTCGTATAAATTATTAGCTGAGTTTCATACAACACTAAGGCTGCATTCGGGAGTGAGGTTTGGAAATCCTCACTCCCGGGCACGTAAAACGGAGCAGCGATTAGGGCGTGATTAATTAGGTTTTTGCTAATTTTTTTTTTCAAAAAAGGATTAATTTGAATTTTTTAAGCAACTTTCGTATATAAACTGGAATACCATAAGATTGACAAAATTAAAGGCGGTACACTGGAATACAAGCTCCATAACTAAGAGAGTGTTTAGATCCAAGAGTGTAAAGTTTTGACGTGTCACATCGGATATTATATAGGGTGTCGTATGGGGTGTTTGGACACTAATAAAAAACTAATTACAGAATCCGTCTGTAAACCGCGAGAGGAATTTATTAAGCCTAATTAATTCGTCATTAGCAAATATTTACTGTGGCACCACATTGTTAAATCATGAAGCAATTAGGCTTAAAAGATTCGTCTCGTCAATTAGTCGCAATATGTCCAATTAATTATTTTT